CAGCGTCCAATTTCTCGTTGCGACCCTCGCCATGCCGGTTTCTGTTTCCTACGGCGTTCTCAACATTCCACGAGCGTCCTTGAAGCTTTTCGCGGTGCCGGTTCGTTGGTGATCGTCCCGTGTGTCAAGTGATCTCACTCAAACGGCAAGCTAAGTTATCTAAAGCTCTCGCCGGCCGCGTTGTGAGCACCTCACCGATACCGCGACACCGAGAAGTCTCCATCGACGGTCCTTGCCGTGGCACTGTACCTCTAGCCAAGGCGCCATTGTCCTTGTCACCGCAGCCGGTTGAGCCCCTCATCGACGGTCCTAGCCGAACCGCCACCGCGAACTCGTCGTATCACTGTGAGCCATTGTCACCGTCGTGAGAACCGTGTCCGCCATCGATCGCCCACCATCGGCTACCGTCCCGTGATCCGCAAACTCGATCCGGCATCAAGCTCGAATTTGGAAGTTATCCGCAAATTAGGTAAGATCATTATCCGAATATTTTCTGAAATATTTAATTTCCTAAGTTTTCGGTGTTTGAATATTTCGTGGATATTCTTTGGTGGATAGCTATATATCCTAGGATAATTTTGTGATATCCGTAATATTCGAAAACACCCAAAATTAGGAATCATTCCTAATTTAGCAACGTATCTGGATGACTATCCGACCTTATCCCTAAGGTTCGATACGCGGCGATACGGAAAATTATTATCCTATCCATAACCACTTGGGTACGATAATGATTTTTATCCGCTTTCCAAATTTGAATAATCGGCTTTCCGTCGATATCTATAACCCTATAGATATGACCGATAGTTTGATTTTTGTGCCTAATCCGAGTTTGAAACAAATATGGCGGATCCCGTGGACGTTTTGAATGTGGTTGCTATCCTTGTTTATTTAATTGCTTTCCTTTTTCAAATAAACAGAAAATTCAAAAAATATTAATTAGATTTGAATTAGAGTTTTCACATGTCTAGGAATCCTAAATATATCTAGAAGATAGAGTAGTTGTTTAATTTAAATTAGGACTTGAGATGATCTATTTCCTAGTTTAAATTAAGTAATATTCTAATCTTAATAGATTATTCAGGTTATTTTATTATTTCGAATTTCCATGAAAATCCCAAAAAAGAAGAATGAATTGTTTTAGGATAGATTAGGATAGATTGTATTCTTAATTTAAGTAATTCATTATTTCGAATTTTAACAAAAATCCTAAAAAGAAATCATGCTAGGGTAGATTAAGTCATCATAGTTTGCATGTTAATTTAGGCATTTTTATTATTCCGAATTTAAATTGAGAAAATACCAAAAATAATCATTCGTCCTGTCATTAGAAATAGGTCACGTCGTCGCACGACATATAGTTTGCATGCTAGGTTGCATTAATCGCATGTCATTTTCGCATGTCATTGCATATAGGCTAGATTTCATTTAAATAAGTGAAAATCCAAAAAAGAAATTGAGTGAATTGCTTGTTAATTAGAAATCATATTAGAATTGTTAATGTGATTTTCTAGCTAACAATGCAGATGCTTACGTTGCTTCGAGGTAAGTAATTCTCCCAATCTTGCAATTTATTTAATGTTTTGATTATTGGGTGTTACTTTGGTGGTTTGTGCACCGGCATGAACACCTCACATGTTAGTGATTAGGCAATAAAATGGATCCAGACTGCATGCATAAATATTTTTGAAAAGAAAAGGTACCGAAAGGGCGTTAGACTAGATCTAGCGTAACCAAGTCCCCGAGCTTAGAATCTCTGGTTCGTAGGAATAAAACATATCTCCCTATATTTTATTTAGGTTTCTAATCAACCTACCATAAATTGATTAGTGGCGACTCCGAGCATAAAAACTTTTGCATGTTAAAAAACTTAAACCCTAAGTTGCGAATTGGTAGGGCTTGGGAGGGCCCGAGTTAGGCTTAGTCTTAACAATTCATTAGCCTGAGAGAAATTTTAGGTCGCGACACTTCAGAAAGACCAAGCATATGTCATTCTAGAACCATACTAAAAGCATGTGCTTCAGGCCATCACTTCCTTATAAAAGAACATCAAATGGAACTCCAATAAGTAAAAGAAAACAAATGCTGCCCTTGTTATGTATATTGACATTCACTAAGTAGAAAGAGAAGAAAGAAATACCGCAGGAATCATATAGGAAACAACTTACCAGGTTAGGAGCAGCCCAACCAACAAAAGCGAAAGAATAGTCATCACCTGGCTAAAAGATGCAGATACAGAAGGTCTTAGTCCATGAAAGATGAAGTGTCTAGAACGACTTCATGCTAAGGCATTAAATATTTGAAAGCTGTAGAAGTACACTTACCACCAAAGTTGGCAAGCAACCTGACAAGACAAGTCTCCTTGGGTGACGCATAGCCAGAATATGAAAACATGAATCATGAAAATGAACATGGTAAGAAGCTATTCCGGAGGAAGGCAGACTTTGATGTAATGCAGATCACAATGGAACCAAGTCAAGCAGCTGACAACGAAGCACTCACTAGAGGGACAAAGTTACTTCGGAAGCAGTTGCAAGATAGGATATGGATATGGGGAATCTTGTATTTTCTTTCATTTCCCCTTCCTAGCCAGTAACATGCTGATTTTGGGTAATGTGATAGGGGAATCTGAGCTACTGATAAACCATCTCATCATGAGGACCAACAAAATAGAAGTAAGATAGCAGCTAAGAAATCTCAACAAGTTCATATAATTTGCAGCAATAGAACATAAAATGGAAAAGAAAACCAAAAAAACATACATTGCCCCACAATTTGTAAAGACCAGCTGTTAAACAAGGTCAAGTTAGTCCACATAGTCGAAATTTGTGAAGACCAGCTGCTAAACCTTTATTAAGTTCCTACTACAAAGTAATTTTATCAATCCCAGTCATCCAACTATTTAGCCCATACACACATATCTGAGTAATTTAAAAGATCACTTCCAACAATTTATTCATGCAAACAGAAATGTCAAGGGTCAGAGATTTTCCATCTCTGTTTATGGTTTAGTCCCAAGCCACGATAATATAATTGCATACCTTGGATCAATATTAGCCAATGATATAATGTCGTCCAACTTTGGTATGTCACGCAAGTCAACTGGAAGGAGCTTGTAATGTGCACTAATCACTTCTCCCTTTTCTACACAAGTTAAAGCAAGCTTAAGATAATTAAAACAACCAAAAAGAACAAAATAATCAACACATAATAAAATTTTACACAAATTCATGCATCTGAACATAAGAGACACACTGATACAATGGATAGTAAGGACGATATGCTAGAACCATGAAAGTAGATTTTGCATGCCTCATATTGATAGGTATATAACGACTCCTAGCAAGAACTTAGAAGCCACATAAATTAGCATTTGATTAGAGCAACAGATCCTATGCCCAAAGAGACGTTGCCGTTTCTCGACACCAAGGCAATCAGATGTTCAAGTCCAACGCCATCATTAACAACCATACACGCCGCTTCTCCGCCAGATTCGCAAAGTCAAAATCATTTTAACTTCACTGCAAATACGCCTTATGAGTAACAAAATCCAAAGGGAATGTAGCCACCATGCTAATGGTGATAAGTTGCTATGCTGTTGCTAACATCTAAGTGAGATTGATACTAGCATTCCATGTTGAAAATAACAGACCATCTGTTAGACCAAATAGTTTGTAATAAATCACCTAAGCAATTTGATTGTATTGGCATTGGCTCAACCAATCTGGATGACATATATTTGCAAAAAAAAGGTCCCTTAAGCAGCACAATGGTGAGTTCTTGCATTCCAGGTAACCAGATTTATCGGGAAAAAAAGTGGGAAACAAAGATTTATGCAGTCCATGGGTCATTGAGCTTGAGTCATATGCTATGTAGACGAAGCCCGGTAACAGAGTAATCATGGTAAATTTTTCAGAGCAAGAAAGCCAAAGGGTGTCACCAGCTAATCAACATCGTTTTAATCAAATAAGGGCCATTAAATTCGCAGAAACCAATGAGCACAACAGATGCAATTCAAAATCCATGCTCAAATGATACAATTTACACGGAAAAGAAACTAGGAACCATGCGAAAAATTCACCCTTTTTTTGGGGCTCACCTGCAATGTGAACAACCTGTCCTCAAACTGAACTTCCTTCGTTAAGAAATCAGCTCCGATCGTCGCCTTATACTGATTGCTAAACTTGCGATTCACATACCTATACAGCACAATCAGCAGTCCCCCCAACGTAAAAAACACCAATCAATCAATATCGCATCGAGCTGCGTACATGTATACAATTTCAGATTTTGAATCACGGGGTTAAGAGAACAAACATCAAAAGGGTGTATAGCCAATTAACCTAAAAAGTCATAAACATCAAAAGGAAACGTCTAATTCGACGGACTGATCGTCCGATTCCGCTACGTGACCACCGAAGCTCGATCGCTCTAGAGCCTCCTCGGCTTCAGGGACATTCAAAAAGGAATAGCGCTCATTAACCTGCTCCATAACCTGTGCCCAGGAAGGGCGGGAGCTCGCGATCGCGGAGCGAAAGGGAGCAGATCGAGGACGCTAGGGCAAGCGGAGCGAAAAGGACAACAACTGCCTCAACAGAATCAAGGACTCGAAACGCGAACCCTAACAGAGGCGTTGCAAAGCTAGAGAGAGAGAGAGAGAGAGAGAGAGAGAGAGAGAGAGAGACCGACCTCGAGCGACGGCGACGAGTGAAGGATGCAGAGAGATGATCGATGAGTGAAGGATGCAGACGAGGTGAGGTGAGGCGAGAGAGTCGAGAGCGTCCGACGGCGATGGCGTTTGGTGACTGAAAGAGGGAGATGGGTCGGCCCAGAGTGTTAATGGGTCGGCCCGATCCTACCCCAACCCTAATGATACCCCAAATTTTAGGGCCATATTCGAAGAAGATTAAGGCCCGACCCCAAAATACCCCAAATTTTAGGGCCGGACCGAGCCGGCGCGGGTCGGGCCGGGCCGGCGCGGATATTGTTGACACCCCTAGCGGGCACGTGCCAGGTTCTGGGCTGACTACGTAGACAAGGTAAGACGACGATGCCCAATCTATCGAACATTTCTTTTACTAAGTGTGCTTAACGTCAAGACACAAAACGACGGTGCAGATATTTCCAGCGGGGAAAACGGCGATGTTTTCGACGGGGGAGGCCCAGAAGGTGGTGAAGAAGGAGTACATCGAGGGCTTAAAGGTGCTAGAGGGAGAGCTTGGGGACAAGGCATACTTTGGAGGTGAGAGGTTTGGGTACGTGGATGTGTCGTTGATACTGTTCTATAGCTGGTTATATGCTGTGGAGACACTGGCCAACTGTAGCATCGGGGATGAGTGCCCCGAGCTGGTGGGATGGGCCAAGTGGTGCATGCAGAGGAAGAGCGTGGCGAAGTCGTTGCCCGACCAGCACAAGGTCTATGACTTCATGTTGAAGGTCAGGAAGTAGCTTCAGGCGCAGCGACACCTCTCGAGTCTCATAATAACGGTCATTTTGATGACTCTTTTGTTCATTAATCCCTCTCTCCCTTGGTCGAGGCTCGCTCTTTCCACTTTCGATGATTTCCGTTTAGCAAAATGTTTTGCGTTCTTTGCGCATGTGTACCTCTAACATACTATTTTTTCTCTTTTTCTCTTTGATGAAATCTTTTTCATCCATGCGTTACCTACATCATCAAACAAGAAAACATAGCGAACAAAGCAATAATGAGTACTCAGGAAATAAAGTTCAGTAGGTAGATAAGTAAAGGGCAAAGAAAGTCCAGTTCGGCTGTCTTGGGCAATATTATCACAACGCCTTGTTATGTACGTCTCGGATAGAACCTCTGTGACCTTATTCGTAAGAATAGATGTGCCTAAATGCAATGAATTATGGCGAAGTGAAAACTCGTCAACAATTGATCCGAGGAGACTTAAAAATAGTCGAATATGAAGTATTCGAGTCACGATAGAAAACGGATGACATGCCATAATTGACTACACCATGAGAAGAAATCAAAACCCGACTCAGGGAAGCTCGCAGTAGACCAAGAATGGGCGTTTTTTTTTTTTTTTGTCGAAGACCATGAATGGGTTGACTGCCCATAGACGTAACAACGATCTACGCATGGACTGAATGGCATTGCATGTTTAACAGTAAAACATAAGCATCTAATGAAAGCTGTGAGTTTAGGAGTACCGCATTGCATGTTTAGTGATACGTCATATTAAAACTGGATTGCACTTAGTATAACATCATTTGGTCCTTTGGAGGATGAGAGCATCCTTTAGAAAGATGCATGCATGTTTAAATTAGGGCTTAGCTCATGGGGGTCCTTGTCTCTAGGCTTAATAATGTAGCTGTGTATATTCTTTGCCCGACATCATATCAATTTTTTATTTTCACGCTTTATCATCATGTCGTCTTTGTTTATTATGTTTGGATTATCACCTTGATTGTATGAACGTTGAATGTTCGCAGGCAAATTCGTGGCACATACTCATTTAGATGGATGTGCCTAGGCATTTAAATGAACAAGATTGCATGATCGAAACGTTTTCGAAATAGCAAGAATAGGTACCAAGTTTAGGCACTGATAGACTTCAACGCAATTAAGTGTCTATTCTCGAATCTCTGGTTCACGGAAAGTAAAACGGCCTTCTCTGTTTAACTAAGCTTCTAATCAGCCTCCAATAGGTTAATAGCGACTCCTAAAGGAAAGGGCAATAGTCATCATACTTAGGGCCCATTTGATCTGACTTTGGGGGAATGTCTTTGGCAAAATACAAAGGCCTTTAGGCTAAAGTGATTTTCCGAAATGCAAGTAGTGTTTAGTAAAGTGTATTTTAAAATCACATTTGAAAGCAATTTTGACTAAACACCGTTTTGTAAAAACTATATTTTGTAAATAACTTTTGCTAATATTTTTTTTTTAAAGTCTCAGACACTGGCCGGCCAAAACAGCCACCAACCAGCCTTGCCTGGGGTCATGCAACCCAGGCAACCGTGGCCTGGGCTCAAACTTAGGCATCATCGCCTGGGTCACGTGACCCAGGCGACGATCGCCTGGGATCGCACGACCCAAGCCAATGCTTACCCGGGTCGTGCAACCTAGGCAACGCCTAAGGTCGCGCGACCCCTTAGGTGGCGGTCGTAAGTTTTTGGAACTGCTTCTCTGGGTAAATCGGGGAAGATGAACAGTGCGATGAATAGTGCAATAAACAATGAACTTGCATTTCGAGAATGCAAGTTACCAAAGTAGTTCCGGACCTGCCATGAGCTAAAGTCTTTTAGAGGCCTTTGGAAATGTGATTGCATTTTCCCAAAATTCTCTAAAAAAATTGCCAAACGCTATTTACATTTGGCTACCCAAAGTCCCTTGCAAATGCTGAACCAAACAAGCCCAATCAACCAATGTCACAATTGGTAAGGTTTGGAAGAATCCGAGCTAAGTGTGAGTGATAACTCGCGAGAGGAATTGTCCGAGCACACTTAAGTAATCCATCCACCATTCGAGGCGACGCGGGTCCTTCAAAGCACATGACCAAACTGCCATCAGGAGGGTACGTCATGCATGACATACTACAATTGACTACACTATGACAAGATGTCAAAATCATACTAGAGAAAGCTTAGAGCAGGGCTGACGATCTACAAGCATGCATGTGATTCTTATCCGCTACACGAACATTGAGTGAAATTTCATCCATAAAATGACTGATATGATCATCAAATTTATTTTATTAAAGAGTCATTATGATTTGCGTTGAAGAGCTATCTGGATTTGCAAATATTTCACTCGAATGCACTCGTTATTGACCTAAATTTGTACTAAACTCAATATGTTGTATCATTTTTTTTTGTGGACTATTATATCTAGATATTTCGTTTGCTCATGCATATACACATACGAGTTCATGCAAAATGCTTTGTTATCTTCAAATAAGTAGTGAGTTTTCCAAGCGTATTTATGCTTCCTCAGCCAGTGCTAAGGATTGTCCTACGACTTGGGTGTAACGATTTGGTGTAATTGCCATTAAGGTTAACCACTTTTTTAGCAAGATCAAGGACAAATGGTGCAGCCTTTTCTTGCCATATCTGTTTGGCTGGAGGGGTTTTTTTTTTTCTTACTTAACTCTCAACTTACTCTTAAACTTTTACCAGGAGTCGAAACCTACATCCGATACTAAACGTTCCCACCCCTAACCCCCTCCTGAGAAGGTAAAAAATCGAACTCCCCATCTCTCCTTTTCCAAATAGGAATGGTGGCCATTAGGGCAAATCCCAGTGGTTGGCTTTAGGACCTTGACTCCTAACTTTTTTAGGTCTATTTGAATTACTTTCCTCTTACGACAGAATCAAGCCTTTCATTTACAATATGTCCATCTCTTTTGCAAGAGCATTTTTCCCTACTGTAGCAACGTTGCTTTCATCCCTAGCAAAGAATTTCGTTAACGGAGTATTGAACCCACTATGTAAGTTATAACGCAAGGAAGAAAGATCTAGCCTTCTACCGGCCTTTATTAATTTTTTTTACATTTTTTCAATTTTTCCTGAAAAGAAAAAAAATGGAAAACTAGGTTTTCTCAATAAAATATAGCTATCCTTACTTATTAAGAATATATTTTTTTTGGGATTTTTATAAAAAAAACGAAAAGTTAAGCTTTTTCAAGAACTATATGGCCTTAATGGAAATTCCGTAAATACTTAAAAAGATGTTTGAGATTTGAAAAGGAGCTTCACTGCAAGGTATTTTTTGAAGTTAAAACAAAAAAGTTGGGTATTGTTATGCCAACCTTGAAACATGGGATAAATTGGAAAAATGAGATAAAAGGTGGGGTTTTTACATGACATTAGCCTTCCAAATAATCAAAAACCCTAATTTAAAAAGTCAAAAATCACCATGACCAGAGACTCCTACAATGCCACGTCGATTACCACTAGTCGGGCAACAGACATATGATTGTTCTTTTCTTCATCAGCAAGAAATAATATTATATTCCATAATTATGCACAATTGTTTACTTTCGCGCCATCAAACTAGGGTCCATTTACAGATGAAAGCTTGGCTTAAAGTCAAGGATGAGATGATTGCGTCTAAGGCTCCATTCGTTTGGCGGAAAATATTTTCCGGATTTTTCAGTGTTCGCGGGGCGGAAAATAACTTCCCACGGAAAACATTTTCCCTCCCATAGGCAATTTTGCCTTCACTTTGAGGGAAAATGATTTCCTGAAGTTGATCGCCGGTCGCCGCCATCGGCCGCTGCCGCCATCGGCCGCTGCCGCCGGCTACCGGTCGCCGCCGCCGCCAGTCACCGTCGCCGATCGCCGCCACCAATCGTCGGTCGCCGGTCATCGTCGATCGTTGGCCGCCGGTCGCAACCGCCAGTCGCCATCGCCAGTCGCTAGTCACCGTCGATCGTCGACCGCCGCCCATCGCCGCTGCCGACCGCAGCCGCCACCGCCACCGCCGGCCGCCACCGCGGTCGCCGCGGTCTCCATCGCCGATCGTCGGTCGCTGGTCATCGTCGGTCGTCGGCCGCCGCCGGTCACCACCGCCGCCGATCACCGCTGCTGGTCGTCGGTCGCCGGTCACCGTTGGTCGTCGGCCGCCGCCGGCCGTCGGTCGTCGATCACCGCCGATCGCCGCCCGCCGCCACCGACCTCCGCCGGTTGCCGATCGCCGCCGGCGGATCGGCCGTCGCCAAATACCAGAAAATATTTTCCGAAACTTTTTCAGATTTTAGCCAAACACCAGAAAATTGTGTTCCAGAAAAACATTTTTCAGGAAAATGACTTTTGGGAAAATATTTTCCGAAAGGAGAATATTTTCCGCCAAACGAACGGAGCCTGAGTTCAGGAATAATGAGAAATGGAACATAATGCAGTAGGGAAGAACTGGAAGCACTAGAAAGAAGGAAGCAACCACCAGTCGAACTAATAATAAGATATGTATTTCTCGTTCATGTTAAAACCTAAGCCATGAGCTAATCGGCCGGGCATGGAGACTAGATTTGGAGCTGACAGTGACGCGAGCAATGACAGCATTGAGCAGCCCCTCCTCGAGCACTGCAGCGAATGAAAAGCCTCTTCCATCTTCTCTTTTGCTCTATACAAGTGGCTCCTGCTTTTAACCTCACTTCACCGCATAAAACAAAGCATTCTTGAGTTCAGATTACCATAGCTTCAATGGCGGAGGAAGTGATATTGTTGGACTTCTGGCCGAGCCCATTCGGGATGAGGGCCATGATTGCCCTGAGAGAGAAGGGCGTGGACTTTGATCTGAGGAAGGAGGATGCTCTGAGCAACAAGAGCCCCCTGCTCTTGGAGATGAACCCGGTCCACATGAAAATCCCCGTCCTCATCCACATCGGCAAGCCGGTTTGCGAGTCCCTCGTCATCGTCCAGTACATCGACAAGACCTGGGGTCATGGGTCCCCTCTCTTGCCTTCCAATCCTCACGAGCGGGCCCACGCCAGGTTCTGGGCCGGCTATGTGGACAAGAAGGTGGGACAATGATGCCCAATCTTTCATACATTTCCTTATTAATCATGCTTAACGTCAAAACATGAAACGGTGGTGTAGATTACAGTGGTGCGAGCGGTGTGGACGTCGACAGGGGAGGCCCAGGAGGCGGCGAAGAAGGAGTACATCGAGTGCTTGAAGGTGTTGGAGGGAGAGCTCGGCGACAAGGCTTACTTTGGAGGTGAGAGGTTTGGGTACATGGATGTGTCGCCAATACTGTTCTATAGCTGGTTCTATGCTTTCGAGGCATCGGCCGACTTTAGCACTGAGGAGGAGTGCCCCAAGTTGGTGGGTTGGGCCAAGTGTTGCATGCAGAGGAAAAGCGTGGCCAAGTCATTGCCCGACCATCACAAGGTCTATGACTTCAAGTTAGAGCTCAAGAAGAAGCTTTAGGCGCAGTGACAACTCTTGAGTCTCATTATGGTCATCTCATGACTTTTGTTCAGTAATTCCTCTCCTTTGGACGAGGCTTAGCTCTTTTCACTTTCATGATTTCCTTTTTGTATTTGAGTATTTCTGGATCAGCTGATAAATTCTATACAACATTTCATGAATTTCGTTCAGCATTATGTTTTGCGTTATTTGCGCGCGTGGACATCAAATATATATTTTTCTTTTTGATGAAAATCTTTTCCATGCATTATCAACCTATTCTGTTCCCAAAACGCATGTAAATACCATGCATTACCAACATTATCAAACACGAAAGCATAGCAAACGAAGCCAAAACAAAAATTAAGGAAATTTCGATCCTTTGGTTTTCGCAACAATCTACACCATCATTTCATGTCTCAATGTTAAGCACACTTGGAAATTCATTGAAAGATAAAGCATTTTGTTGTCTTGCCTTCTTGTCCACATAATCGGCCCGGAACCTGGCATAGGCTCGCTTGTAAGGATCGAAAGGCAAGAGAGGGGACTTGCGACCCTGGGTCACGTCTATGTACTGAACAATGACGAGAGAACCGCAAACTGGCTTGCTGTTGTGGATGAGGACGGGGATTTTCCCCCTCTTGATCAAGCCATTCCTGAAACACGCCACGACCCTTTTCTCAAGATTCATAGCTTTTTCACCATCTTCATCAAAGTTTTTCAATTTGCTTGTCGATTCCACAATTGCAAATTATCATATGTTTGCGTGTATTTTGGGATTGTTTGTCCTCGCTCTTTCTTTGATAATCTACAAGAATTCAGTCAAGGCTCACCAACTTTCAGAGGCAACGTTGCCTGAAGTGCCCGAACTGCCTTAGTCTGGATTGCCTCAACTTCCTAATATTCCGAGCCTGCCAAAGTAGGAATTGCCATCACTGTCGAAAGTCGAATTGCCGCCACTTCGTGAACTACCAAAGCCCGAATTACCAACAATACCGAAACCAAAATTGTCCGAATTTCCTCACATCTGTGATTTCTCTAGACCATCATTGCCTTCCGTTCCCACGATTTCGAAGGACGTGTTCGTCTTTGGCACTACTCCTTAAACCTATGTGATGTGAGTTTCTTGTTGGATACAATATAATATGATTTAGTAATATTATCCCGTCTGTATTTAATGATCTGAGGATGACTCAGATGGTATACATGCACTAGATTGTGACAGTTTGTGATATGAACTGACATTTGTTATATAATTTAATTTATGATATCGTGAAGGAACTAGTTGGCGCAATTGATTGAGGCATTAGGGGATTTTCGAATCAGGATGTGGAGGTTATTTGTTCATATCCTACCAGTAGTGCGTAAAGTGCTGCGAGTCAGAATCATTTGCTCGTACAAAAAGGCCTGAACTTATTCAGGCCATGGGACCAATCCACCAAGTTTCCGTTTTCATAAACACGCGGGTCACCTAACTGGAGATTTTTCTGTGCTTCTAAATTGCCCCTAGTTTACTCCTTTCTAATTCTTAAATTGACACTCCTCACTTGGAGTCAGTTATGCAAGTACATTTAGTACATTCTTTCCTCATCTCGTACTTCCCCGCTTGCATATTTCGTCTGCATACTCCAACACACATATTAGTTCATGCATAATGCTTTTTAATCTTCAAAACAAATACTGAGCTTTCCGAACGTATTTAAGCTTCCTCAGCCGGTGCTAAATATTGTCCTACAACTTGGGTTGAACGATTTGGCATAATTACCATTAGGTTGACCACCATATTCGCAAGATCAAGGACAAAAGGTGCAGCCTTTTCCTGCCATATCGTTTAGGCTTTAGGGGCTTGACTCGTTACTCTTTGAGGCCTATTTGAATTACTCTCTCTTTCAACAGAATCAAGCCTTTCAAGGACCAATTTGTCCATCTCTTTTGCAAGAGCATTTTCCCCTGCTAGAGCAACGTCGTTGCTTTCATCTCTAGCAAAGAATTTGGTTAGCAGAGTATTTAACTGTGCTTAGCGACCCACTATGTGAGCTATAACTCATAATGCAAGGAAGAAAGATCTAGCCTTCTACTGGCCATTTTTTTAAATTGAAATATGTTTCAATTTTGCATGAAAAGAAAAAAAAAGGAAAACTAGGTTTTGCAATAAAATATAGCTATTCTTACTCATGAAGAATTGAATTTTTATAAAAAAAAACAAAAAATTAAGCTTTTTAAAAGAACTGTAGCCTTAATGGAAATTATATAAATATTTAAAGATATTTGTTTGAGATTGGAATGGAGCTTCACTGCAAGGTATTTTGAAGTAAAAAACAAAAAAGGTTGGGTATTGTTATGCCAACCTTGAAAGATGGGGTAAACTGGAAAATGGGATAAAAGATGGGGTTTTTCTATGACGTTATTATCACTTCCAAATAATCAAAAACCCTAATTTAAAAAGTCAATGATCACCATGACCGAAAACTTCTGCAATGGCACGTCGATTACCACTGGTCGGGCAACGGCTTATATTAAATTCCATAATTATGTATAATTGTTTATTTTTTAGCTATAAAAAAAGGTTTTAATTACATATGAAAGCTTGGCTCTAAGTCGAGAACTAGATGATTGTGTCTAAGTACAGAAATTATCGCGGAAACAAGCGATCACATTAGTAAAATAGACAAAACAAGAAAATAGATCGGACATAAGATTTACGTGATTTAGTCAAGGTGACCTCGGTTCACGGGAAGAGCATCAAAGAATTCCTTTGGAGATCAAGCGATAAAATGGAGATTACAAACTCAAACACTATCAATGTTTCCCACCCCTCAATTGCACACAACAACTCAGAAATGAAATTATAAATCTTACCACAAAATTTATTGGCTTCAACAGTCTCGAATTGTTTCAAAATGTAATTTACAAGAAGTCATCTTTTGATACTTTTCACAGCGAAAATACTTTTTATATCTAGACAAAAGATGAATCCAAAACAGGACACCTACTTAAACTAAGTACCCATTCAAATAGGAAATCAACTCCAACAAGGAAATTTTTCTTTTTTATGCTTAAATTCGTGATATATTTTCAATAGAAATAATGAGAAATATAAAATAAACAAGTAGAGAGGAACTGGAAGCACCAGCAAGAAATAATAAGATACGTATTTCTCGTTCACGTTGCCACCTAAACCATGACCTAATACGCCGGGCATGGAGACTAGATTTGGACCTGCCAGTGACGCGAGCAATGACAGCATTAAGCAGCCCCTCCTAGTCCTCGAGCACTGCAGCGAATGAAAAGCCTCATCCATGTTCTCTTTCCCTCTATATAAGTGGCTCCTGCTTTTAACCTCTATAAACCACATAAAACAAAGCATTCTTGAGTTCAGATTTCTACGTCGATTACGCCTAGTAGGGCAACAGAAATATGATTGTTCTTTTCTTCATCAGCAAGAAATAATATTATATTCCATAATTATGTACAATTGTTTACTTTCGCGCCATTAAACTACGGTTTATTTACAGATGAAAGCTTGGCTTAAAGTCAAGGACGAGATGATTGCGTCTAAGTTCGGGAATAATGAGAAATGGAACATAATGCAGTAGGGAAGAACTGGAAGCACTAGAAAGAAGGAAGCAACCACCAGTCGAACTAATAATAAGATATGTATTTCTCGTTCGTGTTACAACCTAAACCAAGAGCTAATCGGCCGGGCATGGAGACTAGATTTGGACCTGCCAGTGACGCGAGCAATGACAGCATTAAGCAGCCCGTCCTAGTCCTTGAGCACTGCAGCGAATGAAAAGCCTCATCCATCTTCTCTTTTGCTCTATATAAGTGGCTCCTGCTTTTAACCTCATTTCACCACAAAAAAAGCATTCTCGAGTTCAGATTACCATAGCTCTAATGGCAGAGGAAGTGATACTGTTGGACTTCTGGCCGAGCCCGTTCGCGATGAGGGCCAAAATTGCCCTGAGAGAGAAGGGCGTGGAGTTTGATCTGAGGGAGGAGGCACTTCTGAGCAACAAGAGCCCCCTGCTCTTGCAGATGAACCCGGTCCACAAGAAAATCCCCGTCCTCATCCACGACGGCAAGCCGGTCTGCGAGTCCCTCATCATCGTCCAGTACATTGATGAGACCTGGGGTCCTGAGTCCCCTCTCTTGCCTTCCGATCCCCACAAGCGTGCCCGTGCAAGGTTCTGGGCTGACTACATGGACAAGAAGGTAAGACGAACAGCACCCAATCTTTCCTGATCATTTCCTTGTTAAGTGCGCTTGACATCAAGACGTGACACAACATGACGGCACAGATATTTCCTGCGTGGCGAATGGTGTGGCTGTCGACAGGGGAGGCCCAGGAGGCAGCGAAGACGGAGTATATCGAGGGCTTAAAGGTGTTGGAGGGAGAGCTTGGGGACAAGGTGTACTTTGGAGGCGAGAGGTTTGGGTACGTGGATGTGTCGCTGATACCATTCTATAGCTGGTTCTATGCTGTGGAGACATCGGCCAACTTTAGCATCGGGGAAGAGTGCCCCAAGTTGGTGGGGTGGGCAAAGCGGTGCATGCAGAGGGAGAGCGTGGCCAAGTCGTTGCCCGACCAGCACAAGGTCTATGACTTCATGTTGGAGTTGAGGAAGAAGCTTCAGGCGCAGTGACAACTCTTGAATCTCAGAATGGTCATTTCCCGGCTCTTTTGTTCAATAACCCCTCTTTCCTTTGGACGAGGCTTAGCTCTTTCCACACTTTCATGATTTCTTTTTTGTACTTTGAGTGTTTCTGGATCGCCTAATAAATTATATGCTAATTCCGTTTAGCATTATGTTTGCATTATTTGCGTTCTCGAATTTATAGTTTCCTTTTTGATGAAAATCCTTTTCATGCACTATTGACCAATTTCGCTCCCAATAATCATCTATTAGTATCATGCATTCGAACATTATCGAACATGAAACGTAGCAAATAAAGCAAAAACAAAAGTTAAGGGAATAAAGTTTGGTAGATAGATGAATAAAGCAAGGAATATCCAATTCGGGCTGGCCTATGTCTGAGATAAAACCTGTAACGACTCGAT